ATTTTGGGGCCCAATTCTACTTTAGTATTGCAGCCACTTCCTTTTTGCAATTCTACTTTAGTATTGCAGCCACTTCCTTTTTGCAATTCTACTTTAGTATTGCAGCCACTTCCTTTTTGCAATTCTACTTTAGTATTGCAGCCACTTCCTTTTTGCAATTCTACTTTAGTATTGCAGCCACTTCCTTTTTGCAATTCTACTTTAGTATTGCAGCCACTTCCTTTTTGCAATTCTACTTTAGTATTGCAGCCACTTCCTTTAGTATTGCAGCCACTTCTTTTTTGCAATTCTACTTTAGTATTGCAGCCACTTCCTTTTTGCAATTCTACTTTAGTATTGCAACCACTTCTTCCTGAGCAGACTTACCACTGGGGGTTTGGCTTTGGGTTCTGTGGTTGAGCAACCAATTGAAAGGGGAATGCTTTTAAGCAAGTGGGCCACCAATTGAAAGGGGATGCTTTTAAGCAAGTGGGCCACCAATTGAAAGGGGATGCTTTTAAGCAAGTGGGCCACCAATTGAAAGGGGAATGCTTTTGAGCAAAGCAAGTGATAGTTTATTTTCTGGGAGGGGGGGCTGGGGGCTTGCCACTATTGTGGTCCCCCCTAAAACAATCACATTATTGTGGTTCAGTGGGGTCTGTGAGGGGTACCCTTGTCCTGATTGTTTTTTGGCAATTTTTTAGCACGGTTTAATAAAGAGTTTGCAGTTTCAGGGCTGGGGATGGTTTTCAAATTTCAGAGTTTCAGCTGGCTTTGGGTTCTGTGGTGAATTTGTTTGCATTTGGTATGGGGTCAACATGGATGTTGGGTGAGTGTTTGGGGGGGGGGGAGGATTTTTTTTGGAATTTTCCCCCCGGGCAAAAAAACTTTCGATTATTCTGGTCCCCCTAAACAATGGGTGCGAACCAGAATAAGGAAAACAACTTGACATTATTCAGCACCAGTTGATTAATCAAGTGTTAACATTAGAATAAAACCAATCTAAACCAGATTGGAACCCATCGAATTCTACGGAAACAAGCCAACAAAGGATACCCGATATGGAAACAACTGCCTACCTTTTCCGGTGCTCGGTTTTCGAGGGAGTCCAGAGGTTGGGAACGGATTGCAAAAAACATGTGCAGGAGGTGTCCCGTTCAAGGAGCAACGTTGGACAACTTTGATGTGTCCAAAACAAGGGGTCCGCCCCCCCCCAAAACTAACACACGCACACAAAAGGAAACAGTGCGGAACGAACTCTCCAAGGTGTCAAGGCACTGCAGAAACCTCCAGGCTTTGGGGTTTGTTGACACTCATGACGTCCAATGTGAAGTTTAGAACCAACCAGCCAACCCGGCCAGCTGCACAATCTCTGCTATCCACTGCTTCGTGCTTCTTGGATTGCAGACCGACTCTTCCAAAGGCTCTCAAGTCCTTTTCAGCGCGCAAACATCATGCGATCCTGATTCCCAGCGTGCATCGAATCACCACGGAAAGGAAAACACACGAAATCTACTGAGGCACACCAACATGCGATGTTCCGGACATCAAACACGTGAGTGGACCCCGACAAAACATTGCAATCCAACATTTGGAACGTGCAACAGGCAAAAGATAGGGACCTCAGGACTCAGCAACCATAGCCCTAAGCCCCGAAGCCGAAAGCCAAAAGCACACCTCTCAGGATCTTTCGAATGGGAACTCAAAACGTTGCGCTCGAAACGGCGCTTCCTGGCGGCCCTAGTTTTTGAATCCAGACTTGCTTGGATGCTCCCTTCATGTCGAAAGAAATCCCCATGAATCAGCTCGAATCCCACCAGGTTTTCCTGGGTTTCCTAACCAACGGTTCAAGGAAAACCGTTTTCGCAAACATAGATTCCCTTAACCAGGGGAAAAAACGACTTAACCAGGGAAGAAAATCAAGAGTATTCTCAAGCAAATGGAGGAGACGGGTACCCATAACAAACCGCCCGAAAAGCGTGCCAAAGCGCTCCGGGCTCTGCCGATGTAGCCCGCGGCGCATCTGAACTCCCGGCGGCCTAGGGTGAAGCCCCTAGGTCCTCCAGTAGAGAGGGTGGAATAAGGGCACCCAACTTCTGTGGTCTATTTTAGGGGAACCCTCCCCCCAAAGGGTGAGAAAGGGCACTACTGGGGGAACCTAGTAATGGAGTGTGAATGTTAGGCTGGAATGGGAAAGTTAGTGTTGGTGGGTGTTGCGTCTCTCAACTCCTGAAGTTGCAACTCTCTTTCATCCGCTTTGCAACAGGAGACTTCTAAGGGATTCTCTTCACCCATCTTTCTGCTACGAAAATAAACACTTGCCCACGGCTCACCATGCCTGAAGCAACAAAGAGAAGGCGTTCGTGGTTCGCAGTGGCCGTCTCTGCGTTTGGTGTGGTGAGCCATAAAACTGCGATAAACATCATACGCATGGTCGCTACCACCAGGTTCACCTCCACTCGCAATGCGGAACAGTCCGAGGATCCTCCAGGTTCCAACTTTCCTATTCTGGAAGTACAAAAAGCGGCATTGGCGAGCCGCATCGTTGGCAATAAGAGATGGGTCTCACATACGCTTTGAGAGCTAGCCACTAGCAAGCCCTTTCATTCGAGGGTATCAGCTGAGACATCTTCCTGAGCATCCAACTCCGTCAAACCGGAAATGGGGACCCCCATTGCAAAGGACCTCCATGGCTCTCATGAAAAGCCCTCAGATGATGTCATATGCGACTGCATGGCACTCAACTTGCCAGGTGGCCCAAGTAGTCCACAAAGAGGTCGTAGCCTGCGGTCGCAAAGGGCACTGGCAGCTTTTTGGTTTCGACTGGAGTATCGGACCATTCACCCCAGTTGGGTTGCTGAACGGGAAAGGCAAAAGGACACCGTGGCCATTTTTGGGAAATGGGCCGATCCCCATTTTGAGAAACCCCCATGTGAAGCTGGGGAGTGGGGACACCAAGTTCTGCCAAGGCGTCACACTGCCATTTGGGATATGGGGAAATTCCCTCTATTGCACGACGTTGACCTGACACCGGGTACATCGACCCCACCGCAAGAACAAACAAACTTTTGGGGCTTTGGGATGGTTCTGCCAGGTTTGCTTTTGTGGTTGTGCCCTATCCTCGGCATTGCGGCATGTTCCTGGTGCATCTGGGTTCGATTGTGATGTTACAACCATGGCCCCGAGCGTGACCTTGAAAGGGATCATGAAAGAGGGGGTGTAGCTCGGAGAGAAACGGTGGAGCGACGTCAAAGAATTGTGATGGCCTTCTGGGCCACGTCAAACTGCTTCAATAACGACGGTGGGAAGCCAATTGAACACGATGCCCGTTGTTCAGAGACATGTTTGGAAGCCCCACCCCTTAGGGAGTGCAGAGGGCAAACTGGCGTTCCGCCCATGTCCCCAAATGATCCAAACACTTCCAGTGACTCGTCTGCTCACAGCCAGGCTAACCGCCCTTGGTCCTTTCTTTGCCGCGAAAAACGCACTCCTGTTGGCGCTCAGTGGGACACTAGCACATGACACGATTTGTGCACGGAGATGCTGTTCCCCCAATTTTTTTACGCGTCAACCAAGTGAGCCGGGAACCAGGTCAAGCCTCAGGACATACCAAGTCTGGGAACCGTCATGGGGCGCGCGGTTTGAGCTTCACCGCTGAATCCGTCTAAGGGCTGCCTGCCTGTTGTGCGCAGATTCCGCATGAGAAAGGGGATTTTCGCCCAGTTTGGATGGTGATGCAAAGGCTTTTGCATCTGGTGAGCTTGAAGCCACCTACACTTCTGTCGGGTCATCAGTATGCACCTTTGATTGGATGTCATGGGCACAGTGGGGACTGCAAGATGACAGCGGAAAATTGTCTGCCTTTGAGCCGGGCAAAACGACAAAGGGGTGGCTTAGGGTTTGGGGGGTGAAAGAGGTTCAACCTTTCATCCTGCACCAGCAATGTCCCGGACCCTAAGCAAAGAGCAGCTGCCAGAGGACTCGCTGTCGGAGATGTCATTGCCATTACACCAGCTCATTTGGGCCCTCGCCCGTCAGCTCGCCAGTCGTGGCCGCGGCATCCATAGGATCATGTCTGCATGCTGCTTGCCTTCCATTGAGGCTGTTGATACGTGACCGCCAGCTGCTACATAGAATGGATCACGGCAGGCATCTGTCTAAAACGGCGTAGGATGGTGGTCAAGAATTTCTTGGCCAGCGCACACAAAGGATCTAAGTTGACCTCATGCGCGACCCGCAGTCAATGCACCCTCTTGCACTTCGCGGAGTACGTTGGGCAGGTCCCTGGGCCTGTGTAAGTGCGGCCAGTTGGTTTCCTTTTTGTTTCCCTTTTAACCAGCCGCGGGGTGACCTTACCCCTAACAGGTGAATTGAATTGTTGATTTGGATAAGGAGTTCCTTCCCATTTGGTTCTAGGAATGGGAGTTCAAGTCCGCGAGCCACCAATCCAAACAGTAATTCAGGTTTCGAAACCTTACAAAATGGCACCTCAACCAGCTCAACATGTGCAGGCCCCTTGCGGAACCAATAAGTCAGAGCAGCGAAACACTTTTGTCTTCGCGAAAGAAATGGCCCAAATGGATTTGGCTCAAACTGCGGATTCGGACACCCAAATTTTGCCTTACTTTTTGTTATTTTACTACTAAGTCGTGGTTTTGAAAAGTGTATTTTCCCAACTAATCACAAAACCAATTGCCATCAGAGTCCCAAGCACCAAAACCTAAGTCATTATTACCAGAAGCATCTGTGAAAAGAGTGTTTGTAGTATTTATGTTTGGCTCCCCTTGAAAGCCTCAAAAGCCACCCCGAATGTCGCTTTGACAAAAAGGTCGACGCCTGCCGGCATGGGGTCTGGGTCGGAGCAGTAGAGCTGGCAATCTGGAAGCTCTGCCACCTGTGAAGAAGCTAATCACCACTTTTGGAGGTTTACGTTTGGAGATGTCAAGGGACATAGGAGCTTTCTATATGAGCCTTGTTTCAAAGAAACATCACCCCTACCCCCGAGAAGGTAACTTTGAATTGGGCCAAGGAAACATCGGGAGCCCTGACCACGTTGTTTTTTGGGGGATGACCCCTATTTTGGCACACCCCCATAAAGCATGGTGGGCCGACAGAAAGTTGGTGCTTCTTTTTGGAATCAGCTAGGCTCCATGAGATATCTCACCGAGCATCTCAACATATCTCAACCATGCAGAATCTTGAGCCTCCCAAGGCAACAAACTGCATCTCTTGCATCTCTGGAATATTCCCGAGTGGGTTGCGCTCAATATACCCGCATTCATTGGCCAGACGAATCCTGCTAAGTGAGTTCAATTTGTGCCGATTCGGACAAATATTGGTGCCTCTTTTTTAGGGGAGCCCTCTAAATGGGTGGTTGTCCTTTTGGTTTCCCTTAAAAACCACAAAAATATAGGGGTACCCTCAAAGAAAGACGAGCCACCCACATGTCGGAAACCCAAAAGGGCAAAGGGCAAGGTGTTGGAGTTGGGCCCAGGACCTCCAGAAAAGAAACGACCACATTTTCCTGTGATTTGTTGTACGGGGACACCCCTTGCAAAAAAAATGGAAACGGGCACGTGAGCTCCCAGTGAACTTAAGGGTACCTGTTGCTCGCTCGGCCCCAAACTGCTAAGTACCCTCTGCTCATCTGCCAATTGCCATAGAACCAAAATGGGGAGGTCCCCCACCAGGGGAGCCTCTACACATGGTGAGTTTCACGGAAACCAAGTGGCTGTAAGGGGAGTACATGCGAAACAGTCCCTGAAACTTTGCGGTCGTACTGCTGTGACAGTTCAGGATGAATCACACCGACCCAAGCGTGTTTCGCTGGCTTGGTTCTCAGCTCTCGCGCGCAGGCATGGCATGAATGCAACAATGGCAACGTAAAGCTCTGCAGGCGATGCTGCTAGACGGATGTCGGAAGGTCAACACTCCCTTTTTGGGGATGGCCAGTGTCTATTCCGTGGGCATCAGTCCGGGTACCTCCTCAAGAAGCCTGTGTATTGACTGCGCCACATATTATCGCCTCCACCCCTGGGCACTTTGATTGTAAGACCAAGTGTTGAGGGCTACCCACAAACGGGCAGTGGGGGTTGCATTGAATACTACGTAGTGCTGGTGTATGCAGCTGTCCTTTCCGCAGCATGTGCCACGATACTTCTTGGTTGCATGGTCATGGCCCGCTGTAACAAGGCCGATCAAATTCATTGATCGCCGAACCGTGGTGCTGTTCCTAGGAGTTTCCCAATCAGGGTGCTTCCGTCATGCACTCCACAGGGCAGACTTTGTGTCGGGTGGTTTCGGGTCACAAAAAAGACGAGCGAACACCAATCAAACATGGGGAATGTGTGTCATACAGGTAGAGAAGCGCCAAATCCGGCAGTCTCTAGTCTTCTTTTCACAACTCGAAGAGGCTCCGTGATCAACTAAGCCAGGAACTTGCCTATTCGTTTGCGCAGATCTGGAATCCATTGAAGTCAATCCCTCTGAGATTCTAGCCATCTCCCCATCGGGTTCAATGTTGTCCGCCGGGCAAAGGCCAATGGTGTCTTCCCCTGGCAGGAGGTATGGTCCATCCCCTGGACCAATATGCCCAAGGGGAGATGGTGTATCACTCAAATACTTCAGATTTTGGACCAACCAGCAAGTTGATCGCCCAATGGGGGTGTCTATCAGCGGTCGGGCCACGGTTCAAGTCATGAGTGCTCCTATGTCTCACTGCCGAAAGGAAACATCATGACTCCAACTCTAGGCTCCTCAATGGTTCAACTTGATTAATGATGTAAGACCAACAAAAACAAGCGCACGGTGAAACAACAAAAAGAGACCCTCCCCCCCACAAAAAGCAAGGCCGTGCAGAAATGAGTTCATTGTCGGGCAAAATGTCCTACCCAAAACCATGTGAAGAATCCAAAGGGCAAATATCCGTACCCATTTCAGGCTGGTGCTGTCCTTTGCCTTTGTCTACCAACCAGTGTTTAGCAAACGCAAGCGTGCTTGAAGTCTCCAAGCAATTGCGTGAGTTGAGGCAAACGTTCGTTGCCCTGCGCTGCGTGAGTTTGGCTTCGGTTTGGGGGCAAAGGGGATACACATTTGGCGGGGTCCCAAGTGGCGACAATCCCATGTTTGGGGAAGTGAAGGCAGTTGCAGGCGCTGCGGAAGCACCCAAAGCCAACAAGGCAGCAAACAAACACCGAGCATGAGAAATCTGTGGCTGGAGGCACTCGAATCTGTTCGTTGAGAGTTTTTCCCTTTCGTCCACACCGTCCAAAACTGGGCTCTCGAGGTATCTTGACCGCCAACCCCCTGCAAAATCAAGGTTTGGTCGGACTGAATCCACCCAGTTGGGTAGACTTGTTCTGCTCACGCGGCGCTTGAAATGCATGCCAACCAGAAAATTGGAGCCCGTTTTGACGGGAAAAGCGCCCAGAACATCACCCATGTTCCACCCTTGCGGTTTGGGCCCCTTTCAGCTCCAAGCGAGCAACCCTGCTCGAATCGGGCCTCCTGGTTTCTAATGGAAAGATTATGAAAAGCTGGTTCAAAAGGAGAGAGTAATCTTGGTAATCTTGGTTTTAGCCATTCCTCTTGGTTCAAAAGAGAGAGAAGGTTGAACATCATTTCAGCTTCACTCTTCTCGCTGGTTTGGTCCTTCGGGGGTATGGGCATCCCATATTTGGTGTCAAAAGGAACTCGGGTTCAAATCCCCGAGCCCCCAATCTAAACCACCAATCAAGGGCTACCTGGCATCCCCTTTTTTTTCCTTCTCCATTTACTTAAGTAGGGAAAAACAATTTCCAGCTATAGATCCCCTTCAAAACCAACAAGAGACAAAATAAGACATAGATGGACGAAGTCCGAAACGCAACTCAGACAGCGAGATCAGGGGCTGCATGAAAGCTTTAATGCAAAACATCCGCGACGCCAAACCCGGAGCTCGAACCGCCTTTGTATGCGTTCCCGCAGCTGATGGTACAGGACTCCCCGGCACCTGAGTCCGACTGGCCGACTGACACACAAACAAACAAACAAACACCACACCAAACAACAGAAAACAAAAACACCACGGAACAGACAATATGACGAACAAAGAAACCCCACACTGCAACACAAGGAAACAACATCAAGCAAGCAAGCAAGCAAACAAAGAAAACAGACAAAGCAAACAACAAAGAAACACAAATCACACAAAAACTACGCAACAAACAACACGCACAACCAGAACATGATAAAACAACGAAACAACAACCAAACAGGCAAACAGGCAAACAAACAAACAAACAAACAAACAACCAAACAAACAAAACAAAACAAACAAACAAACAACACAAACAAACAAACAAACAAACAAAACAAACAAAACACACAAAGAAACAAATAAAGAAACACATAAACACAGAAACAAAGAAACAAACAACGAAGCAAACAGCACAAAGCAACAAAGAAACAAAAAAAACAAAGAAACAAAGAAACAACCAAACAACCAACCAACCGACCGACCAACCGACCGACCTACCGACCGACTGACCGACCGACCAACCATCACACCTGGCCGAACAAACAAACAAACAAACAAACAAACAAACAAAGAAAAACACAATCAATCAATCAGCCAAACAAACCAACAAACAAACAAGCCATTTGCGCTTTTTGCCGCTGTTCAGCAGACACCCTGAGGCATGTGCCCATGGATTCAGAGCAGTCGCTCACGTTGTAGCGGCAGCTGTCCTGCCAAGATCAAGTCAAGTCCTCCATGTCAACCGCCCCAAACATTCATCAGGGCCCCTGGAACAAGGAATCCCCACACAAAATGGGGGTTTATTAATCAGGGGTTGACATTCTGTTGACACAATAGGAAGCCAATACTGGAAATCTGAAATAATGCTTTCGTTTTGGTGGGCGAAAAGTCCCTCGGAAAAGACTACTCCTGAAGTTTGTGTGCGTGCTGGGAAAAGATAGAAGCCAATTCGAAGAGGACCAAAGCAGTAAGTGACAACCGAGGACCCCAAAAGAAAAGGGACCCGGATGACATGTATTCCTTGCCCCGCGCGCAATGGGGGGTGCATCCATACCAAAGGGTTCGTATACGTTTGCGCCCGAGCGGATTGGCAGCAAGGAACTGCCAGGTGCCCAAGATCATCTTTGAGAAGGGTCACCTTCGACTGAAACAAAACCTTGGCACCCTTTGGCAACACGTGGAGGCCGCCTCAACCCGTCCATACAGTATGTCACAGTTGGCTGAGGATTGTCTTGGTTGTGCGAGTTGCATGCGCAGCCTGCGCGTTGAAACCTGCCCCTAAAGTCCAGGTTTAAAAAAACAACAACAACAACAATAAAATGAATCTTTGCTGCGCTCTCGTGTTCACATCCCATACCTCTGCATTCAGACATGAGCGTTCGGCCTGAAAACGCGCCGCGTCGGATCGGTGTCCTCCACCTCCAACCTTCGGCAAGGGATGGCTGTCGAGCAGCCGCTCAGCACCAGCCTGGAGTCATCCCTCAATGAACCCGACATAACCCGACGACGCCACCACCACCACAACGAGAAGGGAAGCATGGGAGATATTTGCAAATTCGTCACATCGCTCGACTCAGCCTTGCGCTGCCTGCGTTTAGACCCCCCCTTCTGCGGCAAGAAGCCGTTCTGCCATCATCTCCGGGCTTCAAGGAAGGCAAGTGGCAAATTTTGGGCATAGCCTTACAGTTGCTCGTTCATCAGGCTTGAGACTTGAGGTCTCTACGATTACAAACAGAATTCGCAACAAGCTGGAAAGAAGAAATGCCCTAATCTTCTGTAGCAAACTCGCAAAATGGGACAGAAGGCATGGGTGTTTTGGACCCCCCAAATGGGGGGGGGCTTCCTTTTGGCTTCCCACAAAACGACCGCTACGGCGGCCAAAAAAGAGCTACCCTTTCAACAACCTGTGAGCCGGTTGTCCCGGAAACGCCTGCCGCAAGTGGTGCAGCTGCTTAGCACCTGGGTCTGACTCTGGCAAATGATTCCAAGGAAAACGTCCCTCCCTTTGCTTAAGTGCCCTGGAAAACATATACATATTTCCAGTAGTGATAGATTCCCTTTAAAGCCAACAGGGGAAAATAAAACATATTCTTAACCCAACGGAAGCTTCAGGGAGCCCCATTCGGGGGCCTTCCCTAGCTTCAGGAAGAAGCACATGCAAACCTGGGCCCGATTTCCGATCCCCCGCGCAAAGTGACTAACTTTTGGGTCAGATGGAAACTACCACTAAACCCTAAAACCCTAAAAGCCTAAAAGGCTAAGGAACCGGACGGCTGGCCACCAAGAAACTGGCTTGAGTCACCCTCGCGCAAACTTGAGAATCTTGACGTTCTGTTGGCTGGAGATGAGGATCTCGGTCCATGGTGATTGGAAACACTCGAGTCCCCGTCTTGGGTTCTGAGACTGCAATTCCAAGCTCCTCAGATTGCACTCTTGTACGGAGCTTCTGCGTTTGACTGACCGGGATCGCACCGACACTTCCGTTTGATCTAGCCAGGGCTCCGTTCACACACACAATTTCAAGACATACTGCAGGCTGTTCTATAATGCTGTGGCAGTGCTACTGTCAACATTAGTCGTGCCCAGGTAACCCAAGGACATTCCCTTACGTAGTAAGTGACGGCGAATCTTACTCTTCGGCACTTCGCGGCGCAGCTTTCATCCAAACGAGCAGACCAGACCAGAGATATATAAGCTGCACTGAAAACGTCTGTGGGCGGTTGGCATCCCACGAAGCATCCACATGTTGCTCAATTCAAAAGTGATACCACCCCTATCCACAGATTTTCCACGTGTGGGGCCTGCCAGTCTGCCTCAAACTGGCAAGCACTGAGCTTTGAAGATGCACACACACACACCATAGTGGCAATTTCCTTTCTGTGGGGCGGTCCTTGTTGCAGAAACCAAAGGGACTGCCATTTTTTAGGTCCTTATTTTAAGAGGGCACCAATTGTGGGCTGGGGGACCTAGGAGATAAACCTGCAACCATTGCCCTCCCCAAATGAGTCACAATCAAAACCCGGTATTAAAATGGTCTTAATCCCAAAACCATATAAGTCATAGGAACTAAGAAGGCGGATCTCCGCTATTTCTGGTTGGGAGTGTCTCACTCACCGGATCATCAACCCGGATCATTTTGAGCCAGTGGCTGACATGGCACCGGCCCCGTTCCGTTCTCCGCTCGGCCCGTGGCCCCGCGCCGTGCCGCCGAAGCCCGGCGCGCAGCGCCAGGCCTCCGCGGTCTTGGCGTAGCCGCGGGGCACCGGCTCTGGGCCTCGCGAGGCCGGCAGGTTGCTGCAAGGACCCTGCAAAAAGTGAATCACTTTTAGGAGTGGAAAACAACTCAACTTGTTCAAGCAAAAAGTTAAAGTCTAAAGATCCAACCCAATAGCAGTCAAGGTCATAGGAATGTGTCTCAGGGAAGGTCGAGATCCTTTGAGGAATGAATGTGGAACGTTGAGGGGAATGTCCTCAGGAATGTTGAGGAATAGTTTTTGTCTTTCTCGTTTTGGGAATCACAGGAATGTAGTCAGGGAATGCAGTGGTTTGGGAATGTCAGGGAATGTCAGGAATGTGTCTCGCGATCACAGAGTTTTGCTTTTGGGAGCTCCTTTGCAGGGAGTGGCTGTTGTAGGGTCGTTCCCTCATCTTCTGAGAGCTAGGACGTCTGGCATGGATTCCGCTCCGAAAAAGGAGCAAACAACACAACTCAGCGCGAGTTCTTTGCATAGTTGCAATTACTGACATGTGCCTGTGCAGCAGCCCAAACCCGTCTCATCTGGCGGGGTTCGAGGGTTGCAGCGAATCACAAAATGCATGACGCAGGTGTGCGTTGCATCGCTTTGGTTGCATCGCGCTAATCACATGTTCTGTTTGCTTGCACCAGCGTTGCAGCGCGCACAGCTTGAATTGCTTGCCCAAGTGATACTTTGCCTGAATGATTGTGCCTCTCGCCGGTACGTCCGGCATGCCCAGAGATAATAGTAGAATTTCAGCAGTCCTCCACAGGGCACAGCATACAGATCGCAGAAAACCAGAGCATTACTTGTTTGCATGATTGCTAGCGCGTGCGTGTGTACCTGCCACACCCTATTGGTGTATCCGGCGGGCTTTGAGTTTGTCAGGCATTACAAAACGAATCTCGCAATGGCATGCCCAAGTGGGCGAGTCCACTCTGAACACCTGTCTGTCGACTTGTTGGATGCCATTCCAGCATGGCATCAAGCATTTTCGTATGGTTAGCATCACGCATGCGACCAACATGTGTCGCGCCAATCGTTCTCGCGATGGTTAGCCACCGTGCACCGAATTCAACCCAGCTGTGTGTCCACATCCGTCGGACACGCGCGCCAAATGCTGGCGCCATGACGGGATGGGCTTCGTTGGGCCCCCAAAACAAAGGATATGCACTGCCAGGATTGAATGCACTGCCAGGATTGCACTGTAAGGCCTTCTTGAATGCACTGCCAGGATTTGCTGTACACAATACACTGCATTTGCATGTTCGGAGGCACCACATGCAAAGTTATCACTGGTGTTGCCTTTCAGGATGCTGCGCCAGGATTGACCTGTCACTTACAGGTGATCGAAGGCACGACAGAGTTCAAAAGCGGGAGCCGCAGCACTGCCTTTTGTCTGCGCGTGACCCTGTTGTCAGATCTGTATGCAGCAAGCTCATGTATATTTGTAGATGCATTTACATACACTTTACATACATTTGTTCCATGCTTGCATGGCATGATCAGGCTGTTCTTCAATTCTGATAGATCAACACAGGCGCCTGACTGTCTGTCGTCTTTACGTGGGGCCGTGCTCTTCACGCGTTGTCCTTCTGGACAACATTCTGAAGGGGTTGCAAGCGTCCAACACGGTTCATATATTGGTTGATCGGGTCAGATACACCAACATGTGTACACATACATACATGGGTGTGAATTTCAAGTATGTGAGAGACGCATGTCCAACAGCCACTGTGGCTGCTGATATTGATAAAGGGAAGAAAACAACTGTCATTCTCGAGCAACCTCGTGCCAAAACAAGGACTGCAGGGCGCAGTGTTGCTCGAAGGACGGTCATGAGGTCGAGTGATTGAAGCAGTCCGCCTTTGGAAAGCAAAAACAGCCACTGTTGTTGGACCTAGCTGTCTTCCTCGAAGAAGGCTCCTTTGGGTCACCTAAAGCAAGTTGCTTCCATTGGTGGATATGATTGAAAAACATTGCTTGCCGACACTGACACCCTTGAAAGGAAAGGAACATGACACACTTCAATTCATTGAGTCCCAAGATTTAACACATACCTGTTTCAAAAATAGAGCTGAACAGTCCACGCATTGGTTGCGGCAGCTTCAGCAGCCCCGGCAAGCAACCGATCCACTGCAGTGCTCTCTGCAAGAGCTCCAAGTGTTGCAACATTCCTTGCCAGACTTCCCCGTGCAATGCAAGTGCTGGTAGCCTCCCCTGCTTCGCAGCATGTGCCGGCTCAAGGTTTCCTCGAGACTAGGCCTGACCGCATGAAGTTCCATGCACTGTGCCCCTGGCACGTAGCCCGACCTCTTGCCTCCCAGCGGGCGCGTTAGCCCAGAGCCCCGCTGTCATCCGCCCGGTCCTCACCCTTGGGCGGGTTGGCCCCAAGAAGCAATGGGAATACCCATGCAAACACGCTGCGCCCAACACCCGGCTAGCGGTGTGACTGGAGAGGCGCTTAGGGGTGGTGCCATCTCTGTCGGGTAGGGCAAAGTCGGTCGCGAGACCTCACGACACGTCACGAGGCACGACAGATCATGACACTCCAGTCGTCACTTTCAAAGGGCATATCTGGACAAGAAGGCAAAGAACACAATCCAGCCACGTATGTTGGACGTGCATTGCCAACCACCATGCCAACACCACAACAAACAAACTCAAGCAGTTAACGGCACCGGTTCAAGCAGCCAAGCTCCAAGTGTTGCAACATTCCTTGCTAGACTTCCCGTGCAATGCAAGTGCTTGTAGCCTCCCCTGCTTCGCAGCATGTGCCAGCTCAAGGTTTCCTCGAGACTAGGCCTGACCGCATGAAGTTCCATGCACTGTGTGCCCCTGGCACGTAGCCCGACCTCTTGCCTCCCAGCGGGCGCGTTAGCCCAGAGCCCCGCTGTCATCCGCCCGGTCCTCACCCTTGGGCGGGTTGGCCCCAAGAAGCAATGGGAATACCCATGCAAACACGCTGCGCCCCACACCCGGCTAGCGGTGTGACTGGAGAGGCGCTTAGGGGTGGTGCCATCTCTGTCGGGTAGGGCAAAGTCGGTCGCGAGACCTCATGACACGTCACAAGGCACGACAGATCATGACACTCCAGGCGCCACTTTCAAAGGGCATATCTTGACACCAGGGCAAAGAACACAATCCAGCCACGTTTGTAGGACGTGCATTACCAACCACCATGCCAACACCACAACAAACACACTCAAGCAGTAAACGGCACCGGTTCAAGCAGCCAAGCTCCAAGTGTTGCAACATTCCTTGCCAGACTTCCTCGTGCAATGCAAGTGCTTGTAGCCTCCCCTGCTTCGCAGCATGTGCCGGCTCAAGGTTTCCTCGAGACTAGGCCTGACCGCATGAAGTTCCATGCACTGTGCCCCTGGCACGTAGCCCGACCTCTTGCCTCCCAGCGGGCGCGTTAGCCCAGAGCCCCGCTGTCATTCGCCCGGTCCTCACCCTTGGGCGGGTTGGCCCCAAGAAGCAATGGGAATACCCATGCAAACACGCTGCGCCCCACACCCGGCTAGCGGTGTGACTGGAGAGGCGCTTCGGGGTGGTGCCATCTCTGTCGGGTAGGGCAAAGTCGGTCGCGAGACCTTATGACACGTCACGCGGAACGACAGATCATGACACTCCAGGCGTCACTTTCAAAGGGCATATCTATCGCATATCTGGACAACAGGGCAAAGAACACAATCCAGCCACGTTTGTACGAAGTGCATTGCCAATCACCATGCCAACACCACAACAAACAAACTCAAGCAGTTAACAGCACCGGTTCAAGCAGCCAAGCTCCAAGTGTTGCAACATTCCTTGCCAGACTTCCTCGTGCAATGCAAGTGCTTGTAGCCTCCCCTGCTTCGCAGCATGTGCCAGCTCAAGGTTTCCTCGAGACTAGGCCTGACCGCATGAAGTTCCATGCACTGTGCCCCTGGCACGTAGCCCGACCTCTTGCATCCCAGCGGGCGCGTTAGCCCAGAGCCCCGCTGTCATCCGCCCGGTCCTCACCCTTGGGCGGGTTGGCCCCAAGAAGCAATGGGAATACCCATGCAAACACGCTGCGCCCCACACCCGGCTAGCGGTGTGACTGGAGAGGCGCTTAGGGGTGGTGCCATCTCTGTCGGGTAGGGCAAAGTCGGTCGCGAGACCTCCTGAAACGTCATGAGGAACGACAGATCATCACACTTCAGTCGTCACTTTCAAAGGGCATATCTTGACAACGAAGTGCATTACCAACCACCATGCCAACACCACAACAAACACACTCAAGCAGTAAAGGGCACCGGTTCAAGCAGCCAAGCTCCAAGAGTTGCAACATTCCTTGCCAGACTTCCTCGTGCAATGCAAGTGCTTGTAGCCTGCCCTGCTTCGCAGCATGTGCCGGCTCAAGGTTTCCTCGAGACTAGGCCTGACCGCATGAAGTTCCATGCACTGTGTGCCCCTGGCACGTAGCCCGACCTCTTGCCTCCCAGCGGGCGCGTTAGCCCAGAGCCCCGCTGTCATCCGCCCGGTCCTCACCCTTGGGCGGGTTGGCCCCAAGAAGCAATGGGAATACCCATGCAAACACGCTGCGCCCCACACCCGGCTAGCGGTGTGACTGGAGAGGCGCTTAGGGGTGGTGCCATCTCTGTCGGGTAGGGCAAAGTCGGTCGCGAGACCTTATGACACGTCACGCGGAACGGCAGATCATGACACTCCAGGCGTCACTTTCAAAGGGCATATCTGGACAACAGGGCAAAGAACGCAATCCAGCCACGTTTCTAGGAAGTGCATTACCAACCACCATGCCAACACCACAACAAACACACTCAAGCAGTTAACGGCACCGGTTCAAGCAGCCAAGCGCCAAGTGTTGCAACATTCCTTGCCAGACTTCCCCGTGCAATGCAAGTGCTTGTAGCCTCCCCTGCTTCGCAGCATGTGCCGGCTCAAGGTTTCCTCGAGACTAGGCCTGACCGCATGAAGTTCCATGCACTGTGTGCCCCTGGCACGTAGCCCGACCTCTTGCCTCCCAGCGGGCGCGTTAGCCCAGAGCCCCGCTGTCATCCGCCCGGTCCTCACCCTTGGGCGGGTTGGCCCCAAGAAGCAATGGGAATACCCATGCAAACACGCTGCGCCCCACACCCGGCTAGCGGTGTGACTGGAGAGGCGCTTAGGGGTGGTGCCATCTCTGTCGGGTAGGGCAAAGTCGGTCGCGAGACCTCATGACACGTCACGAGGCACGACAGATCATGACACTCCAGGCGTCACTTTCAAAGGGCATATCGCATATCTGGACAACACAACAAAGAACACAATCCAGCCACGTATGTAGGACGTGCATTACCAACCACCATGCCAACACCACAACAAACACACTCAAGCAGTAAACGGCACCGGTTCAAGCAGCCAAGCTCCAAGTGTTGCAACATTCCTTGCCAGACTTCCTCGTGCAATGCAAGTGCTTGTAGCCTCCCCCGCTTCGCAGCATGTGCCGGCTCAAGGTTTCCTCGAGACTAGGCCTGACCGCATGAAGTTCCATGCACTGTGCCCCTGGCACGTAGCCCGACCTCTTGCCTCCCAGCGGGCGCGTTAGCCCAGAGCCCCGCTGTCATCCGCCCGGTCCTCACCCTTGGGCGGGTTGGCCCCAAGAAGCAATGGGAATACCCATGCAAACACGCTGCGCCCCACACCCGGCTAGCGGTGTGACTGGAGAGGCGCTTAGGGGCGGTGCCATCTCTGTCGGGTAGGGCAAAGTCGGTCGCGAGACCTCATGACACGTCACGAGGCACGACAGATCATGACACTCCAGTCGTCACTTTCAAAGGGCATATCTGGACAACAGGGCAAAGAACGCAATCCAGCCTCGTTTGTAGGACGTGCATTACCAATCACCATGCTAACACCACAACAAACAAACTCGAGCAGTAAACAGCACCGGTTCAAGCAGCCAAGCTCCAAGTGTTGCAACATTCCTTGCCAGACTTCCCCGTGCAATGCAAGTGCTTGTAGCCTCCCCTGCTTCGCAGCATGTGCCGGCTCAAGGTTTCCTCGAGACTAGGCCTGACCGCATGAAGTTCCATGCACTGTGCCCCTGGCTTGTAGCCCGACCTCTTGCCTCCCAGCGGGCGCGTTAGCCCAGAGCCCCGCTGTCATCCGCCCGGTCCTCACCCTTGGGCGGGTTGGCCCCAAGAAGCAATGGGAATACCCATGCAAACACGCTGCGCCCCACACCCGGCTAGCGGTGTGACTGGAGAGGCGCTTAGGGGTGGTGCCATCTCTGTCGGGTAGGGCAAAGTCGGTCGCGAGACCTCACAACACGTCACGAGGAACGACAGATTATGACACTCCAGGCGTCACTTTCAAAGGGCATATCTATCGCATATCTGGACAACAGGGCAAAGAACACAATCCAGCCTCGTTTGTAGGACGTGCATTACCAACCACCATGCCAACACCACAACAAACAAACTCAAGCAGTTAACGGCACCGGTTCAAGCAGCCAAGCTCCAAGTGTTGCAACATTCCTTGCCAGACTTCCCCGTGCAATGCAAGTGCTTGTAGCCTCCCCTGCTTCGCAGCATGTGCCGGCTCAAGGTTTCCTCGAGACTAGGCCTGACCGCATGAAGTTCCATGCACTGTGCCCCTGGCACGTAGCCCGACCTCTTGCCTCCCAGCGGGCGCGTTAGCCCAGAGCCCCGCTGTCATCCGCCCGGTCCTCACCCTTGGGCGGGTTGGCCCCAAGAAGCAATGGGAATACCCATGCAAACACGCTGCGCCCCACACCCGGCTAGCGGTGTGACTGGAGAGGCGCTTAGGGGTGGTGCCATCTCTGTCGGGTAGGGCAAAGTCGGTCGCGAGACCTTATGACACGTCACGCGGAACGGCAGATCATGACACTCCAGGCGTCACTTTCAAAGGGCATATCTGGACAACAGGGCAAAGAACGCAATCCAGCCACGTTTCTAGGAAGTGCATTACCAACCACCATGCCAACACCACAACAAACACACTCAAGCAGTTAACGGCACCGGTTCAAGCAGCCAAGCGCCAAGTGTTGCAACATTCCTTGCCAGACTTCCCCGTGCAATGCAAGTGCTTGTAGCCTCCCCTGCTTCGCAGCATGTGCCGGCTCAAGGTTTCCTCGAGACTAGGCCTGACCGCATGAAGTTCCATGCACTGTGTGCCCCTGGCACGTAGCCCGACCTCTTGCCTCCCAGCGGGCGCGTTAGCCCAGAGCCCCGCTGTCATCCGCCCGGTCCTCACCCTTGGGCGGGTTGGCCCCAAGAAGCAATGGGAATACCCATGCAAACACGCTGCGCCCCACACCCGGCTAGCGGTGTGACTGGAGAGGCGCTTAGGGGTGGTGCCATCTCTGTCGGGTAGGGCAAAGTCGGTCGCGAGACCTCCTGAAACGTCATGAGGAACGACAGATCATCACACTTCAGTCGTCACTTTCAAAGGGCATATCTTGACAACGAAGTGCATTACCAACCACCATGCCAACACCACAACAAACAAACTCAAGCAGTTAACGGCACCGGTTCAAGCAGCCAAGCTCCAAGTGTTGCAACATTCCTTGCCAGACTTCCCCGTGCAATGCAAGTGCTTGTAGCCTCCCCTGCTTCGCAGCATGTGCCGGCTCAAGGTTTCCTCGAGACTAGGCCTGACCGCATGAAGTTCCATGCACTGTGCCCCTGGCACGTAGCCCGACCTCTTGCCTCCCAGCGGGCGCGTTAGCCCAGAGCCCCGCTGTCATCCGCCCGGTCCTCACCCTTGGGCGGGTTGGCCCCAAGAAGCAATGGGAATACCCATGCAAACACGCTGCGCCCCACACCCGGCTAGCGGTGTGACTGGAGAGGCGCTTAGGGGTGGTGCCATCTCTGTCGGGTAGGGCAAAGTCGGTCGCGAGACCTTATGACACGTCACGCGGAACGGCAGATCATGACACTCCAGGCGTCACTTTCAAAGGGCATATCTGGACAACAGGGCAAAGAACGCAATCCAGCCACGTTTCTAGGAAGTGCATTACCAACCACCATGCCAACACCACAACAAACACACTCAAGCAGTTAACGGCACCGGTTCAAGCAGCCAAGCGCCAAGTGTTGCAACATTCCTTGCCAGACTTCCCCGTGCAATGCAAGTGCTTGTAGCCTCCCCTGCTTCGCAGCATGTGCCGGCTCAAGGTTTCCTCGAGACTAGGCCTGACCGCATGAAGTTCCATGCACTGTGTGCCCCTGGCACGTAGCCCGACCTCTTGCCTCCCAGCGGGCGCGTTAGCCCAGAGCCCCGCTGTCATCCGCCCGGTCCTCACCCTTGGGCGGGTTGGCCCCAAGAAGCAATGGGAATACCCATGCAAACACGCTGCGCCCCACACCCGGCTAGCCGTGTGACTGGAGAGGCGCTTAGGGGTGGTGCCATCTCTGTCGGGTAGGGCAAAGTCGGTCGCGAGACCTCATGACACGTCACGAGGAACGACAGATCATGACGCTCCAGGCGTCACTTTCAAAGGGCATGTCTCGCTAACGAGGCAGTCCGAAAACAGGTAAACGGAATGGTTGTTGTAGTTGCATGTGCGGAATACAAACAAGAAAATACAAGAAAGCACTGCTGGCTCAATGTCAGCGTTGGAATGACCGTCATTTATCAAATCTCCGTGCGCTGTCTCAATAGGTCCGAGTACGTCAGTCAACAAGCTTACATGAAGCAGTGTCAGTGTAAGCTACAGCATTGCCATGTCAGTCCGCTCATATAAAAACGTTCAGCCCGAAAAAAACAACACAGACTATGCTACAATGGCAGCCATCGAAGAGGGTGCAATGGCCCTCAAAGACACCATCCCTGCCCACAACGATCTGTTAGGTATTTGTCTGGCCAACATTCACGGGGTATTCATTGGAGACCTTCAGGGCACTTCGGGATTTTTGTCCACCCACATTCGGGGGCAAATGTTTACCCCATGCTAATCAACCCGGGTGATTGATACGCAGGATGTTCGTGGGTTTAGTGGTCGGAATCAGACGACTTTTGGAGGGGGCCCCCACCCCCCTATTAAGAAACTGGTTGCTTGAAATTCATGGGTCGACATTAGCCCCGAATGTGCCGGTTCACAAGGCGAAGCACTGAAATTGCAAGTCTAAGGCAAGAGCAATCCGCGAGGCTGCACCCTGGCATACTGAAGTCCACAGTCCTGTGCCAGGCTGCCTCCTTCCCTTTTTCTTACGAAATGAGACCCTGTTTCCCCCAAAAAAGAGGCAGAACACGGTGCTCCTCTGGGTTTCCCAAAGAAAACAAACACAAAAAAAAGGTGGGCGCCCTCAAACAAATTAAGACAGACCAGTGAAGTGCCAGACCTTTTGTGCCCATCCCCGATGGGTAAGGAGGCACGTACACGCTTGAGAATGTTGCTCTTGACATGTTAGTTTCGTCTTCCTAGACCCCAGTACCTGTCATGTCAGTGGCATTTAGATTGTCACGGCAAAGCTTGTGTGGGCAAATGAGCGGTTCTGCTGACATGGTAAGGTTGATATAGAGGACTGTACGCCTCTTAAACCAGGTAGAACCTACCACACTGATCCTGTTGCGGGTCTGGGGTGCTCAAATTACCCTGCCTGTGGACATAAATCATCCACAATGAAGGGACCTTCATCTCCGGTGAGCTCGCTCTTTCCCGCGGACCTCGTGATTTGCAAATCTCCTTTTCCGGGTCCTGCTGTACAGGCATGAGATCCTTCCAAACACAGAACACGCTTAATGATACGGCTTGTCTCAAACTCTGGGACTCTAAAAAAGGGATTGGTTTCCTGTTGGTGACCCCAAACTGGTGGACATTGTGGAGACTTACATTTAGCAACCACGTTTTAAGGTAGACACCTGTCTCCTTGTTTTCTCGATACTACCCCAGCGTCTGGAAGAAACGCGCGCCACAACGTTATTTCTTGAGGAGGCCTCTCCAAATGATGGTTTTCCTTTAGGCGTTCCCCCCAAAAAAAGACACACACACACACAAAAAAAAGGTACCCTCACAAAAGCCCCACACTTTTATACAATGGAACAAAACAGACTAAACACCCACCAAACCCAGCTCGGTCCAAAGCCGAAAGCTGTGCGAGTCCTCTCGGGGTCCGTGTTGCGGGTCGGGCAGCGCAGGTTTTTCTTGGCGCCGGTGAAGGGCGCTAAGCATCGGGCCTGCAACTCAAGACAGCTTTAGGACAAAAGGAAGGAGGAACAATGGTGAATATTCAAGGTGTCTCCCTTTGTCATTGAATTCGTGTGGATATGAATATAAGTTATCTCCACGTCTTTTTTGGCAAGGTTAAGCATGAGCCCTGCTTCTGACAATAATGCGTGCGGGAAAAACGGCAGCTCCAAAATATATCTTTGGCCTTTGCGCATAAACCTCCTGAATATGCATGTCCAAGTGAAAATGGAAGCCAAGTGGCAGCTAATCGCTCGTTAGCAGAATCCTGAAACGTAAAGGGCGGTGTGGTGCCGTGGCTGGAGTGTCCATTGCTCGATTTCCGCAAACTGACCGTATGCGTTTGTAGGCAACAAGTCATAAGTTGCACATGTGACTCATGTGAACCCCAATTTGGTTGCACCATGTCCAGCAGAGATCGAATTTATTCTGCTGTCGATGCGTGGCCGGCTCTTTGCTTCCAGGATCCATGCCCCTCGTCCAAATTGCTTGTGGATGGACAAAATCCACTTTGCACCAGGTGAGATGGATGAAACTGTGGGATAAACCACGTGCCAACTGGAGGACGTGGTCCCATCCACCAAACAAACAGGTGATCGCCATCCATCCAGGCCCAATTTACGCATGTCTACCCGCCTTATTTTCGGCACCCCATTTGGTTCGGATTCCGGGCCCATGTTCGATCCTCGAAATGGTTCTTAGACTCGCAGGACCCCAAAATGACATTATACTCAACATCTTCACTTTGAGAGGCCCAGCTTTGCTCCTTTTGCGTGTGTTTTCTCACTAGGGTTTGTCTTCATCGCGGACCCCCTTCTTTGTTTCCAAACAAAACAGCCCCCAACAGGGGACCGCGGAAGGCTCGGCCCCAAAATGCCCATGGGTACCTTTTCCCATTTCGGTCTCCCAAAGTCATCTTTTGGTTTTTCCAATCACCCCATGTTTACCGGACCTCTTGATCACCCATAGCTTTCAGCGGCAAACGCACCCGGGCAGTCCCAAGATTTCGCCTCGCAGGATCCGCCCAACGGCACTTGGCGCTGGCAGTCGCTGATGTCCAGCTCACACCTGCCGTCTTTGGAACTAGAGGCCCCCTTGTGGAGGAAAATGGTTTTCCAGGACCAGGTCAGGTTCCATCGTGGGCGTTTCTTTGATCACATCCCGTTTGTCTTTGGAAAATAATCAAACTTACGTATTCGATGTTCTCGTCTGATGTGTATAGCGTGAGGTTTTCTTCCGACTGATTTGGCTCTTTCGGGTGTGGCTCTTTCGGCCATGGGAGTTCAGCCCTCCGCTTTGCCCAAGCTCCGGTCAAACTTTGTCAATCTGAATCGAGGTCTGTGCTCAATCATTGCCCCGCGCAACGCATGGTACATGGAGTCGACTCCAAGCGGTATTCGAAGCCAGACCCAACTGTCATCATTCCGTCTTAAAGTGCCAAGGTTGCTCGGCGCAATGGTGTCTGGTGCACCAATTGTCTACCTGTAATTTCAAAAACTTGATGTTCAGCTCGTGAACTTTTAAATTGTCTGTTTACCACCAAAATGGTCGTCGCACAAAGTATAAACCTCCATTTGCTTGAGTTCGGAAAACATCTTCTGATGGATTCCTATTTTAAAAAAAACCAACACGAGTGACAGATCCCCTGTAAAACCGACGGGGGAAATAACACATACCCGCTTCAGCACTACGTCCGAAACGGAACTCCAGCCGCAGGTTCCGCCTGTTGCCCGGAGCAGGCCAGGCCGGAAGCTCCGGTAGGCCCTGGAAAGCCAAGGCTGGGCGGGTCTCGTCCGGGCCTTTTGGACGCCAAGGGCACCGACCTTTTCGGAACATAGATGGCTTATAATGGCACAACACCCCTCTCCCCACCGATTTATGATGTGGCCTGCATCCAGAACTCTCATGGAGAACTCTCTCACAGCTTGCTCAGAGAAACTGCTTAGAGCAACGGACTTACCTGGCGGGTCTGGGTGCAAAAGCAAGAGCGTCTTTCAACCTGCGCCATGGCCAAGCTTCTGAGGAGGCTTGCGGAGGAACAAACTGCGAGCTCTTGAGCTCTTGGTTCTCTTGGCCCTAGCGCAAGCGCAAGGGAGGCCTCGTTTTGCGGCTTGGGCTGCCTTTCTTCGGAAAGAGCGCTGAAACCGCGCCAAGGGGCTCCAAGGATCCCAGGCGAAAGTGTCTTCTACCAGTTTGGCTCACAGTTTCGGAAGAGGCCCAACAGTGTCATTTTTCGATCACTTGTTTGTTTGGCTCGAAAGATCTGGGTTTCATTGGTTTAGGTCCATGACGAACCAGAGGCCAACTATGAATTGTTCATCACGGACCCGAAATGGTGGACAAGCTCAGGGCAACAAGAGAGCAAATCGGTTCAATGGGAATTTCAAACAAAGTCATGGACCTATAGGTGCCAGAACACAATGCAGCGGGCTATGGCTCGTCAGAATGGGTTGGACCCTACATCCCTGACATGGATTTCGGGATTCCTTTTGAGATCCCAACCGAAACCGATCTGACAAAAGGTCACCATCGAATCACAAATTCTAGCGAACGTTGATCGTGGGCATTGCGCTGCCAAGGGCCGTGGCGTTGCGTTGACCTTCGCCTTCTGCCTGCTTCATTCATCGCAGTCGGGGCTAAAGACATTGCCACCCACGCCCATTGTGATACCAATTTTGGCCATCATACATACTGTACTTGTCAGTAGGTTCCAAATTCCATTTCTCAGAACCGTGTGGGGAGGTACCTTTTTCAGGACACCCTTTTTGGGGTTGGTTTAAAGGGAACACGCAAGGAACACCATAATTTTGGCGGCTCCACCATGTCGAGACACCCATGTGGCTGCGTCCCTTCACTTGCCCACATGGAGAAGCCGGACTCGCCGATTCCGGCGCGAGCGAGCTCGGCATGGCCTTGCAGCCCACCAGCTTGTCGCAGCCTCTGAGGGTGACCTTCGGCGTTTCTCCGACGAAGCGAGGAGCTCAAGGGATGGGTTTCCCAAAGAGGTGTCCTTCTGGAAAGATAAATGGGCCTGATAGATTATGAAACAACCAAGTCAACCAGGAGGTCCATGTATGTTCTGCGCAAACAACAAACGTGGAAACCTATTGTCTGACAAGTTTAAAACAATTACCCATGCCCTGTTGGTTTCCCTTTGATGAATTAGACGTTCTGGTTGTTGTTGAGCATGTCTAAAAGATCACAATCACCCATGCCCATGTGGTGTCGCGCTGGGTGAATTAAAACAATACGGTTGCTACTTGCAACATCTCGAGGAATACAAACAATTACCCAGCCCCTTGTTACGTCTCTTTTGGTAAGATAGAAATTATGGTTGCTACTTAGCACGTCTCAAAAGACCATGCCCATCCGCTCTCGTTTGAACAACTAAAAAAATGGATGCTATTCAGCAAGCCTTGGGGGGAACACAACATCCCTGTTTGATGTGTCCCGCTTGGCGCAAACCGTCCGATGATGGCTTCAACTTTGATAAGTTACAAATTATGGTTGCTATAGAGCAGGTCTGGAAACACAATTGCTCGTCCCCTGTTGCGTTCCCTTTTGGTAAGACAAACACCATGGTTGCCATGTAGCACCTCTGAGAGGAAACACAACAACTTTCCATCCCCTAGCAGCCCCTTGTGGTTTCTCTTTGGGCGAATTAGAAATGATGGTTGCTTCTTAGCACATCTCGAACAAAACATGCCCATGCCCTTTTGGTTTCAACATTGATTAACATGGTTGCTAATTGGCTCGGCTCGAAGAAACACATTGCGCATCCCCTGTTGAATTCCCTTTTGGTGAAAAAAAACAATATGGTGCCGATGTAGAACATCCAGACAAAAGACCATTGCCCATCCCCTTCTGGTTTCCCTTTTGGTAACTTAGAAATTACGGTTGCTGCTTAGCACAAACAAAACAACCAGTTGCCCATTCCCTTTGGGTTCAACTTCGGTAAGTTCAAACTCATGCTTGCTGTTTGCCACATCTCAAACAACAAGATCCCTCGACACCAATCGGAATTATGGTTGATACTTAGCACGGGCAAAAAGCATCCACTACCCCATTTCCTTTTGGCCTCCCTCTTGGTGAATCCGAATTATGGTTGATATCTAGAAAAGGCTCACAAGGGATTGACCCAACGCCTCGCTGAAGAATGCCAGCAAGGGGCATCCGATGTGAGTTCTCACTGCCAGCACCTTTTCTGAAACCATGTGCTTCCTGCAATGTAGCTCTGGAAGCTGCTGCACATCTTGTCGAATACTTGGCAAGGCTAATGCAGGGCACAGAAGGCAAGTTTTTTCTCGTGGCATTCAGCCTTCGTTGGTTGCCCTGTCATCCTCCATGATGGCAACATAGACTAAGATCTTCTCCAGGAAAAGGCTCCTCTCAATTCAAACTGCTCCTTGACGTATCGCAGGATACAGGCAAACCGGCTGTGCGCTCCTTGCGCTCCGTGCCCAAAATGAATCTTAACACTGAAATTGGGACATGTTGGTGGATGCTGTTGCAGAAGCACGTGTCGGCCCACCATTTGGGGTAACATTCTGTGGATGCAGCTGGACTTCAACACTTGGGAGGCGCCCCTTTCGCAAAGGCGAGGATCTTGCGGGTTGCCGAACAGCCAACAGGATTTAGGGATTGTGGCCTTGTTGGAGCACAACCTTAGTTAGACAAAGGAAATGGGAACCCCGGATGAAGCAGACGACCCGTTGATTTTGATCGGTGGAGTGGCGCGCATGACTTTTGGAGGCGAACCGCCCCTCCGAATTCATGGGACAGGTTTCTTCATCCAGGCTCAACATTAAGGATTTGAACCCCTGGTGCTAGTTGTAAATTAGCAAAACAGGAAAAGGTACAAAGTCCAGGAACTGAGGAAGCGAGATTAAGGTGAGGATTAAGGATGTTTCAACATCCGCCTGTAAATTCCGGGGAGCTGGCCTCATAGGAGCAATCTGGGTTCACCGAGCAGGTCCGGTCAGCGAAACCTGGCGGAGTGAGAACAATTGGATGAGCCAGGGACGGAAAATCAGATGATTCTGTTCCATATGGGTGCATCTTTTTTTAGACCCCCCCAATAGAAGCTGTCATGGTGGTGTTCCTTCAAAACCAGAGGAGAAGCGGTACCCTCAAAAAAGACACTCATATTTACGGACCCTAACATGTAATCGTTTTGGACCCCAGAATTGACACCCTAAGCACACGGACTGACACGAGGGAACACGGAAAAGGCATCAGGGATCACTAGAGTGCTCTTTAAAAACTTTAAGGATCCGTCGCTGGCCACATGGAGAATCCCTGAAACAAATTCAATGTTTGCACCGTGTACCTGGCTAAGAGTAGGGCGCTCCCAAGGGCTGGTTTGCTCAAGGTCTCCCTTTGAACACCAAAGCAGGTCCCTGATTTCACAAGCCTGTGCCATTGAGCTATCACCTTTCAGAAGGGATGAAGCCAAGGAGTTCTGCGGTCGATTTCTTTGGCGAACGTCTCTCAAAATGGGAGACCCTTCCAATGTTGGAATCACATTAAGGCGAAGGCCGTGTAGGTGTATCGCACATTTTTGCTCTAAGACAAGCCCGGACGGGAATGAACTTTTGAAAGCGACTGGATCCACAGCCATGCAGCAGCCAGACAAGGGTGCTTTAGGCGTCACATGCCCGCGCAATCTGACTTGAGCATGCCATTACTCGCCCCTGGAGCTCAAAGATGTCTGGAAAGCAGCATGTCTCAAAGAATCCTTGCCCCTAGCGCTGGAAATGCCCCAGGGTCGACTGGTCCACCTCAACAAATCCAACGCAAGCCTTCAATTGGAGAAGTCAGAAAACGTCCAAAGGCATGGGCAGCCAAATGCTCAAATTATGTCTCGAAATGGAGGCCAAAACAGGTCAGGTGGTTTCCGAATGTGATTTCCCAACCCAACCAAAAGGTGGATCCCTTAAGGACAGATGTTTTGTCGGCTGAAAACTTGCCGACTTCCAAGTGCGCATCGCTACGAAGCTCAAAGACCGCGCACAAACCTTGCGCGCCACTTGCAATGTCAACCTGTCCGCGCGTCGCAATGACATTGACGCAGTGAATTGCCCGCTTGCTGGCTTTGTTGCTGATGCTGACGCTGGCATGAAGCTAGAAGCAATTCTGAAATCAACTGACGCTCGGCCCACCTAGTGTGCTTAACATGGCGCCATGCGCCACGGCGGGTGTCCAGTCACGGGTCCTTAGCTTGGGGTGCATGACCAAGAAACTACCTGATCTCCGCCATATGGGGCTCAACTCCCACTTTTTGACATGGTGTGTCATTAAGGCTGGGAATGCTTGGTTAAAACCTAGCCCCAAAATTCCTTGAAACTTAGTATTTCATGCCCGTACCTCGCCGCTTGCGGCTCCTGCCTGTGTAGCCAGCAACGCACTTGAAGTCGGTACCCAGCCTCGGTACTGGATGCATCGATTCCCTGCCCCCCACTTCAAAAATCTCAAGTCAGCGAACATTGCCCTTACGGAACATGTGGCCAGCTGCCTTCGAGGCGGGGGGGGTATTCCTCGTTCTCCGTCACAACCCGAGCTGCACTTCCTGCCTGTTGAAACCTGTCTGGTGAGAAAAGATGAGAAGGAGACTCACTCACAACCGCCCTGATCATCAATCGCAAGGCACTCCCAAGAACCCCCTCTGCTGCCCACATCCTGCGCAGGCATATATCGGCATGGCTATGTATTTGTTTGTTTGAGGCTACCCTGTTCACCTTGCTTCAAAGCGAAGTCAGAATGAACAATCAAATCCAGTTTGGGGATCCCAATCCAGATTTTGACACAACCTCGCACGAGCAGGACCCATTGGCTTTTGGTTCTACTAACTAGTACTAACATTGTTCGGGTTTATGTCAGCCTTTCTGCAGGTAGAAGCAATCAGCCACGGGAAGATCTACCAATGTGTCCACTCATGCTGCTTTGGCCCTTTAAACCTGGAAGCACAGCATGTTCACCGCGCAATCAGAAACCGGTTTGATCATCGGGGGTGCCGAATGTGGTCGGAATCCCCACGAAGGGGACCCTCCCGATTGATATCAACCAGGCGTTCCGGGGTTCCAAACTCGATCCGAGCGAGCAAAATACCCGTCTCTTGGTTCTACGCTACTGCAAGGTTCATACATTTGATTCATGGCCCACCAAATGACCATGGCTAACTGTTCCTGTTTGGTGGGAAAACCGTGTTTTTTGAAAGGGCGTCCCATGCACAGGACCTTTTGACCAATCCTCATAGGCATGGCCCTGTTGTGTCCAGCTTGGCCAGCAGCTTGGAGTAGCCTTCCGGAAGTGGCAGGGGGTCCGGGCCTCAAAGCCGCAGCTCCGAGCGGTTTGGGGGCGCCCAAGGCTTGGGGCGATCCTCTTCAGATGGCTTTGCGAATTACGCCACACCTCAAGACGAAAGTCATAATGAACCATCTTGAGATCATGAGATGATTGTTTGGCGTAAATGACTTTCATGGGTCATAAGTGGCCTATAATAGTCGATCATTTTGATTTTCATGTGTCAAGTCTAACATATGAAATCATTTTGGAGGCCCCTGAATCACCAAACCCCGCGACCCAAAATGTAGGCCCCCGTAGCACCGCAGCAACTTGGGCATCCCACCAGTCGAACCACATACCCAACTGCTGGGTTGCCCCAAGGCCCCCCGAACGAGCCAAAAGGGTGGATCGCCTCTGTAGGTGTAATGGAAACACCGTTTGTTTTCAAAAGGTCTGACCTAAGGGCACTCCAACGAGCAGCCATGACTAACATGTCGCTCAAACTCAAACCCTGGTAGCACAGAGACCCACACACATATATCTTCCGCCAAAAAGCCAAAGTGAAACGTCGAGTCCAGTTTGAGCCCGGCATCCCTCCAACACTCATCTAGAAAGACATGTGTGTGGCCCTCCCGGGAAGCCAATGAGGCAAGTTGGGGCAATGAGGGCGGGCCTTCTGTCGCAGCCACTGCGGCGCCTGATTAAACAAAGCGCTAGGTACAGTAAGAGTATGGGGACGCTCCAAGCTACATGTCTGGCTGTCCCAAAGCACAAAGCCTGGAGGAACATGTCTCTAATTCATCGATTTCAATGGAAGACCAACCATGACACTGACGACTCCCTTCATAAATCTGAGGCATCTGAGCAAAAGAACCTTGCTGAGCAAATTGCACATCCTGCCAGCGGAGGCTTCCAGTCTGCAAGTGAAAGCAGGGGGAAGGGGGTTGACCGGTTTGACTCATCCGTTGGTTTCTTGGAGCTAAACAAGTAGCCTCCCAAGAAAAACCACTCCTTTGCTCTGCGAGCGCGTGATGTTCCGCCAAGCTCCCGGCTTGGCAAATCGCCCTTGCTAAACCCGCAACCGTTTTGGGAACGAGGCCGTCTAGGGACGACCCTGTTTTGGGGCGCTGGCGGTTTCTTCCAAGCTGACACAGGGTCCCTGCAAGGGCCCTGTATGGCACAAGGGTGAATGGAACTGCAGTGCTCGGCTGAAAAGTTGCCAACAGGTAAGGGGCGCTCAAAGCGTCCTGTTCAAATCTAAGTCGTCAAGAACTCTTACGCACTTGCGCAACACACTTTCGCGG